CTAGTTTTAAGAGTTCTACTGGTATTTCAAATAATCCAGCTGCCTTATTGTATTTAGAGTTTTTGATAGCGTATTTGATTTCATCTATAATCTTCTGTCTCTCTAAAGGATTTAATTCTTATATTTTCTGCATTTCACCTCTTTCACCTTGGAAAAGTTCTGTAACGTACTCCTCCCATCGTCTAAACTTCTCTGGTAAATCTATTAGTAGTACTCCTTTTTTATGTGTCTTTGCTGTCTATTTTGACCCATTCCAGTCACTTCCCTAATTTTGTTTACACTCATCACATTGAGGCCCCATTTTTTATATTCTTTCTTTAGTTTTCTAAACATGTAGTCCATGTCTTCCTCATCATTCGCTACGACGACCTGATCATCTGAGATCATTCCGGATACTTGTTTCCTCCGCTGCTCTAGCGATAATTGAATATATATTTTAAATAAGATCGGAGATAGACAACATCCTTGTTTAAGTTCCTTTGCTATTGGAAATGATTTAGATATAAAGTTTCCTTCTTTAACGACACTTCTTGCATTGTTCTATATATTTGCGATAGAATTCGCATACTCTCTATTGAGACCTACTTTCGTCAATGTTTGAAACCGGTTTTTCAAAGGTACCGTATCGTATGTCTATTTGAGCATCCACATACTCTATACTGAGACCTACTTTCGTCAATGTTTTCTTCTTGTTTACTAACGTTTGCATATTCTCCGACCACCATTCTTGATTTTTTGTTTCATGTTTATCTTTATATCCCAAAACTTCTCTTGCAGCTTCATGAACGCATTTTTTAAGTAGCTGGTATAATTCTTCTGCTGATATATTTTCTCGATCCACATTTTGTAATTTTGTGGCCAGTCGTAATTTGTAAAGAAATTTCGTTGAATCTTCTTTGAAGCTTTCTAGGTTATATTTATGGGATGTTACTCCTTGTCCCGTTTCTATATTCTGTACTTGAGTGTTATTGTTTTTGCGATAGGTAACTATAACGTTGGCCATAAGTAAACGATGGTCGGATTCATATTCTGATCTATGGTATACTCTTATGTCAGTTGTCTTTAGCTGGAAAGTTTGACGTTGGATTACATAGTCGATTATTGAGTGCAGATTCCTAGTAGGTTTATCCATGTAAACTTGTGGAAGTCTCTATATTGAAAAAATCCATTCATAACTTTGAGAGACATTGTTTCACAAAAATCTCTAAGATCCATTCCGTTGTCATTGGTTATTTGTTCCCCATATCTTCCTACGACTCTGTTATTATTTTCTGTTCCTACTCTGCCGTTTAAATCTCTTAGTATAAGGATTTCACAATTTTCTTTAATTTCAGTGAGTATCTCATTTATCTTGTTATAGAAATCGTCTTTACTTTCTAGATCTGCATCTTTATTTGGCGCATACATTCCGACAATTACGATGTTGTGCCCATTGTTTTTCAGTTTCAGTATTAACATATGTTGTTCATTTACTTCAGTGCACGATTTAATATTGTTTTTAAGATTTTTTCAAATGACAATAGAGACTTCTCTCTTAGCTCTGTTATCTTTACTCACTTCACTGTAGATTTGTATATATTATCCAATCCAGCTGTACTCAAACTGTGGTACGCGTACCACTGGTGGTACGCAAAGAACTTTAAGGTGGTACTCTATAAACTAGAAGAAACGAAGAATTTTAATCAAATTTATCAACTAATGTTATCTTTTACGTGGTGCATGGCAACGCTGCGAGTTGGAAACACAAGCGCGTAATGTCTTATTCATTGTTGGCAACACTGGAATCCCGGCAAACTGCCACCGCCTTTGATTCACGTCATCAGTGGTCATTAGTTTCCTCGTGGCCGTCAGTCGTTGTGGTTAATTTTGTCGAAACGAGTAATTTGCTGTTACTGATTCGTGCTAATTTTTGCATATAAAAAATGGATAAGTGGCTTAAAAGAGACAACAGAACATCTGAAAATCCCGGTATATCGAGCTCCACTTCAGAGTCGGAGCCTATCCAGGGTGATGACAAAAATAATTATTTCAAAAAACTAAAAGTGGCGGTTAGGAAATATGATCCTGAATACATTAATATGGGATTTACATTTACGAATATAAATGATGAGCCAAGGCCCCAATGTGTAATCTGTTCGGTGACAGATTCAAAATTCTTTCTAACCAGTGTGTGAAACCTTTGCTATTAAAACGCCACTTCAGTACAAAACATTCAGTGTTGGAAAATAAACCTAAGGATTACTTCGTTCGGAAGTTAACGGAGATGAGAGGCACAAAAAAATTAATGTCGAATTTCACCGGCAGCAACCAAAAAGCAGTAGAGGCATCCTTCCTCGTGAATTTAAGAATTGCGAAGTGTGGAAAAGCGCATACAATCGGCGAAGAACTAGTTCTGCCTGCCGCACAAGGTATGTTAACGTGTATTTTTGGAGATAATTCAGGTAAACAGCTTAGTGATGCATAGCCATGGTAGTTATCCAGATGATCACCCTGTGGAGGGTTGTTAGAACGTCGTAGATAGTAATTACAGATCCATCAGTCCCCCCACTAATAAAGAAAAAAAGCCCACCTTTCAGCCTATCTTTTCGGTTTCGAGTGATGTATGTGCCTCCCCTGCAGCAACCCCCCCATCACTCCTCAAATCGTCATTAAACAATACATTATCTTACAACACTCAAAACCCCCCCCCCACTTCCCACTCTCTGTAACCCAACAAAAGTAATTCTTTTTTTGGTTTCTAACACTGCCCCTCTTTTACCACCAGACTTCCTCTTCATCCCTACGGAGATCCCTCCCCACCCCCAGTCCATAAAAAAAATTATTCCCCCCAGTTTTCCACTCTCCCCTTCCCAGTGGAGTTCCCCCCAAAAACTGTTTCTGAAGTTATAACTCTATAACTTTCTAATGATATCCCCGTAATTTCTCACCAGTCTCCTTCCCCGCGACCTTCTGTATTAGCCCTAGTCCCCGCATCCCACGTACGCCCTCGCGTATACCATTTTAATGCCTCCCCCGAATACCATAAAATACTGCGCCTCACCGCCCAATACTACACTTCCCTTTCGCCGTCCTTCATAATCTTTACTCCCCTACTCCATTGCCCTCAGGATTCCAAACACACCCTCCATAACCCCAGTTTTTACCTTCCTAACCTTGACACTTACCCAAAAGCCATCCCCTACTGAAGCTTCTCCAAGAATCACCCTTAATCCTGCCCATTGAAATGCTTCTATAACAAATAACCCTCCACATCAATCATTCCCATGTCCTATCACCACAAACCCAAACAAATCAGCCCCTTCCCCCGCTTTCTTCACCACATTCACAAGCTTCCCGCCTTCCACCCATAAATCCTGTACGTATGCTGGTAAACATACGATAAGTCGTAACTGTCCGAAGCAGATGTTTCTAATATATAACATTCCACTCAGCAAAAAATTACGCAGGTCGATTCAGACGGTACAAGTTATGCTCATCCATATAATTCAGACGTCGATCACCCCATCTCAACCCTAAACCCCCTCACACAACCTCCCTACTCAACCCATTCGCCACTTTTCCCAACCCCTGCATGTCGCCCTTACCCAGCCCACACCAGACTCAATAACCTATACGGCCCGTATAGTTTTCCCCCCACCCCATCCTGAAACACCCCTCCCATACACATCATCCCTCCTACTATTAAGAACTTTCCATGTCCCCCCCTTCCAAAATCCTATCTAAAATCCCCCAGGCCCTATTAACTATCACTCCCAAAAGAAATAGTTATTAATCTTTACGCATCCCCACTCCTCCAACCGTCTCTCATTCTACAACATTAAAAGAACCCCTAGCACAACCCTTATCTGCCAATCATACCCACATCTACCAAATCATTTCCTACCACTTACCCCCCACTCCTCCCTCCACACCCCAACCCGCCCTTCCTACTATTAAGATTCCTCCTCCAACTATCACCGGTTTGTAAGAACAAATCCTACCTTGCTGCTACAGTTAATAGTTGTCTTCCTCCCCAAGGATTATGATGGGCTAAATCGTTTATAACCAAAATTTCATGTCTTCTCCTATGGACTCCGATTGACCGTACTCAACCCATCCCTTTTTATTTCTCTCCCGTCCACAAACCACTCCCACTCACAATATCGATTTTTCTGTTCTTAATCCTCCAGCTTCTAAAAACTACCCAACTTTCCAACTCATTCCAACCGACATACATTCACCCAAACACCCATCCATAGCCGTTTACACCCCCCTCGACCCAATACACCAGAACCCGGTTTACTCCTAAAACAAGATACAAACCACGCGTAAATAAGTTTCATTGGGTAAAAAAATTCCAATATTAACCTCCTCTGTGTGTGTATGGTACTTCCCCACCCATATATCCCCATTCAAAAAAAAACTACAATTCACGCATCTTGTTACCCCCCCATCCCTCTCCCCAAACCCTAAGGTAACACTATACTGTCCTCACTTTCCATAATCGCATCGGAATCACCAGAAAATCCGAATGAAACTAAGCACAATTGATCCTGATATCGATTCACTTGTTGTAGCTATGCAGAACCATCCTTCTCACTGAATTTTTGGATTGGGTCAGACTGTAAGTTTTATTTTGTAACATTTATAATGCCCTTTTTTAAATAAATACATTTTTGCCACAATTAGTAAATTTTATTATCTACTTTTTTAATAGGTGGTACGCGATTGACGCAGAATTTATGTAAGTGGTACGTGTAAAAAAAGTTTGAGAATCGCTGATCCAATCTCTTCATTTCCTTTTCCCTTTTTCTTGGTCTCGTTAGGAATACATATATCTATTTTCTTTCAGATAATTCTTTGAATACTTCTGCTTGTTTGATTCTAAGTCCTGGTACATTCCATGTAGCCAAAACTATTAAAATAGTGGCTCAAATTTAATCAAATATTTTAGCTTAAATATTAAAATAGTAATTTCCATTTAATAAGAATTTTTATTTTACCTTCGTTAAAAATATTTTAGTAAGAAATATAATTCAAATAAATAAGCAAATAATAGTTGCACGTTCAACATGTACATTCAGACGGAGCTAAATCTCCCGAGATCGCTATGGCTTCAATTTCAACTTTGGCATTTACGGGCAGTCTGGCAGCTTGCACAACACATCGAGCAGGAAAATTTTTCTTGACATCTAAACGAACAAATAATATTAAGTACTGGAATATAAAAAATATTTTCAAGATTACTAGCTACGAGGTACAATCATTGGAGCTAGTAATCACGGTTAACGAAAGAGTTAGTAATTATTTTATTGAATAGAGTCATTATATGGTATACCATGGAACAAACGATCACGTACCGGTAATAAAAAATCTTATAGAAAAATGTACTGAATATAATAAACCACTAGCTTTAATATTTGTCGACTATGAAAAGGCATTTGACACCGTAAATCAACAAAAAATGTTGGAAGCCTTGACAAAATGCCGAATTGACTATTGGTATATAAATATAATTAAACACATATACCAAAACGCAACAGCCAGTGCTAGAGTGGGTGATCGCCAAACCCAAAAATTCCCGATACAACGTGCAGTATGCCAGGGGGACACCATATCGCCTGTTCGAAACTGTTCACTACGCTTTTGGAATATATATGTAAAAGGGCAAAACTGACCGACGAGGGCATAAACATAAACGGAGAAAAGCTTAGCCATCTAAGGTTTGCAGATGATATTGTACTAATAGCTGATAGGATAGATGAGACCAAAGAACTTTTAAATCAGCTCTACCTTTCCTCGCTAGAAGGGGATTGAAAATAAATATATCTAAAACCCAGATGATGACAAATCTTGTAGTCAGCGAAGATATATGCGTAGGAACAAGATCCATAGACCAGGTTATAGCCTATAAATACCTAGGTCATGAGACTTGCATAGAAAAAAAACCAAATCGTTGAGCTTCTCCGTCGTATAAGACTGACTTGGGTAGCATTCGGCAAGCTGAACCATATTATCAAATCGTCTGATATACCAATATGCCTTAAAACAAAAACCTTTAATCAGTGTGTTTTGCCAGTGTTGACCTACGGTGCGGAAACGTTGACCATTACAAGGAGAACAGTTCAAAAGATCCGTGATTGTCAAAGGTCGATGAAGCGAAAAATGCTATATTGGGCGTTTCACTACAAGACAAGATCCCAAATCGCCAGCTACGAGAAAGAACAGGAGTGGCTGATGCAGTAGAGAGAGTAGCAACACTGAAATGGAACTGGGCAGGTCACGTGGCTCAAATGACAGATTATAGATGGACAAAGCGGATACCGGCATGGAGACCAAGAGATGATGCCTACGGAAGTAGAGGTCGTCCACCAACACGTTGGGACTGACGATCTAAAACGTTGTCATAGGAATTGGATGCAAGAGGCACAAGATCGAAATAGATGGAAAATTATGAGGGAGATTTATGTCCAGCAGTGGATAAGCGAAGATTGAATGATGATGATGGTATACCATAAAACCTCATAGTTATTGGAATATATTTAGAAGAAAGATAAATGCTTCAATAAAAATGGAAATTAACATGGTGTCAAAATAATCAGAATAAAGAGAAACTAAAAACGCTGTACCTATAACCTAACATACATTTTGCCGTAATAGACTAAAACGATTTTCGTTCAATCTTATATCTACTTACACGTTCTGTAAATTTCGTTCATCTTAAAAAAGTCATTCATGTCTTCTAAAAATATGTTCACCTTAATCAACTTATCGAAAGACGAATTGCCAGCTCTTAGTATGGCCTCCAAATTTTTCATCGCTTGTTGCATCTCATTGTCAAATCCTCCTTCCACCAACTTTCCGGTCTTAACCGAAAGTCCAAGGGTTCCCGACACGTATAACGTTTTTGAATCAATCAAAATGGCCTGGCTGTAAGAAAAATAGGAGATCTAAGGGGATTTTTAAAGCTAGTTATAAATTATTTACCTATAAGGAGCATTATTTACTGGACCGGGAGCAAATGGAGTAGAAATCAGCTTTTTTGTTGTCATTTTTAGTATATATTTTTGATTGTATATCACTCAGAAATAATTTTGTATTAAAATTTTGTATAAAGTGACAATGTCAATAATTTGAATTTTTTCTTCTTCTTTTTTTGGCTACATCATTGACAATTTATTCAGTTAACTTTTGGGTTAACAAGTATTATAAGAAAAGTGGCCTTTCTAACAGAAAGTCCATATTCTACCATGCGCGACATCGTGAAAAGTGGTGTTAAAAATAGAAAAACAAGATCGGATGCTGGAAAACCTAAACAAATTAATATCGTGACTCCTAAATGTTTAAGGAATTTGGTTTGCGAGGAATAAACACAAAAAAAATGTAATATCAACAATTTATATTATATACACCAATCTTGTTGCGATTGAAGAAGTGGTCCTAAAACCACTTTACGTAGGCGGCTGAAAAAAACTCGAGTTCAAATAAAAAATCGTTGATGAACACATGGCTATTATGAAAAATAATAAATAACTAATAAAAATGAGAAGAGAAAGAGTTTTCCAAAATTTGACGCAAAAGTTGTCGATTTAATTCGATATGAACTATCAGAAATTACAAGTGCCGACTGGAAAAAAGCAGTAAATTGCAAACAATCCGTAATAGCATTACCTCGGTCAAGGCATAGAGACGTCGATATCAAGTTAGACCATAATCCACTGATTTGCAAAATGGGGGTCAGGCTAAAGAAGATTTGACGTATTGTCAACCCAAAATACAAGGCTACTCAAAGGCCAACGCACAGAACAGAGTGTAGTATTGTATATACATAGCAATTTGAATACCGTGCAATTCTTGCTCTAATAAATCAAATGGATTTAATAGAGCAAGAGCTTGAAAAATACCATAGAGTTTCACAAGACTTACAAAAAATATTTCTTAAACTACCAAAAATTAAGAAGAAATCGTGGATGATAAATGAGATTCTAAATATGATGGAAGAGAGGCAAAAGGTCAAAGATCAGGGCAAGACATTATACAAAAGAATAGACAGAAAGATCAAAAAAGCAATCAGAATGGCTAAGGACACACACCTGAGAAAACAATTCGCAAAAATATAGCGATTAAAACAGAAACACGATTCATACAATATGTACACAAATGTTAAAGAAGCTGTAGGCTTCTATAATCCTAGAAGAGTTGGATGTTTGGCAGACAACAAGGTAATTCACTACTAAGTGTAGAAGAGAGACTAGACACTTGAAAAAATATGTGGAAGACACATTAGGCACCCAAGAAGCTAGCTCTATTCGCTATGCAAGTACGTATCCAGAGGTGCTGGGATGTCAACTTTGTTTTATCGACTAAAAAAGGCATTTCATAAAGTAAAACATGGCAAGCTTATATCCATCTTTAAAGAAGCGGGCTTAGATGATAGAGACTTGCGAATTATATATAATTTATATTACATTTAAACTGCCAACATTACAGTAGATGACCAGTTGACAGAGATAATCTTCATAGACAAAGGAGTAAGACAAGGTAGCATTCTGTCTCCAGTGCTATTTAACATGCACTCGGAGCGTATCTTCGAGCAAGCACTGGGAAAACTACAAGAAGAAGCTTAGTTAACGGAGTATGTCTACATTAGATATGCTGACGATGCAGTAGTTTTTGCAGATATAGTAGATGGTTTACAAGCAATAATTATGCGCATATTAGATATAAGTCGAGAATATGGGCTGATCTCAATACGAACAAACCAAAGTACATGGTAGTTAATAAGCGCGTAAAATTAAATACACTTCTTTTGGTAAGCATCATTAACAAATGACCTTAAATACATCATGAATAGACTAGATACTATTAGTCGTGAAGATGGACTTAAAATTAATGTACAGAAGACCAAGATAATAATAATCGATCGAATTCGAAATAACCAGCCGAAAATACGAAACGTATCGGGGTTTGAAGTGATAAGTCGTTTCAATTACTTAGATTCTGTTATCACAAAAAATGGTGGATGCGAAGAAGAGATACGTCGATGCCTTACAATGGCCAGATCAGCAGCGGTCAAACTTACTAAAATCTGGAAAGATACGAACATAATCAGAAACACGAAACTGCGCCTAATGCGGACGCTTATTTTTCCTATCGCTACCTATGCATCAGAAATTTGGTTCGACTATTTATTTAGTTGGTGGTTGAGGGCAAGGTATATGGTAAAAGAATTCAAGGAAAATCGCCACTTCGATGGTCAAACCAAATAAAGTGCGCTACCGGTTACTCTCTGTCTGAGGTAACACACTGCGCCCAGGAGAGAGAAGAATGGATAGCAACCATTCGTCAAAAACCATAACGTCACTGCATCCTTACGAAGGATAAACTATAGAGGACGAGGAAAAAATATTCTTTGGTATTGCTTTGTAAAAACAAATCTTGGATATGAACTGACATAAGCGATCCAGATTCTGCGAGGCGTTAGATAGGGATGTATACTTTCACCTATATAATTCAATATATATTTAGAGGAAATATTTAGTGAAGCCTTGGAAAATTGCGAACATGCAATTCTTTTAAATGGAGATCGATCGCCTTAACAACATCTGCTATGTAGATGACACCGTTATTTTGCAGACAGTGCAGACAGCATTTAATAAACAAAATCAATGAAATAAGTAAAAGATTTAGACTATAAGTAAACATATTAAAAACTAAATTTATGGTCATCAGCGAAAATAAAATTAGAGATATTCAACTGCTTATCATGAATACACCAGTGGACCAAGTAAAACAGTTTACCTATCTTGGAACAATAGGTAAACGAACAATAAGATCAGTCACAAAAAGTGAAATGTAGAATAGAGAAGTTTGGGAGCGCATTCAACAACATGGCCAAACTCTCTAAAAGAAACAAGCATAATCTGGAGATAAAAGTAAGGCTCCTACGATGTTAAATCTTCTCGATATGATACTACGGAAGTAAATAAAATGAAAAAACTTCGCGAATGTGGCTATACAGAAGAATCCTAAGGATATCATGGATGGACAAGATGACCAATGAGACTGTACTACGAAGAATGGGAAAAGAAACAGTTGTGATGTATACGATTAAAAGAAGAAAGTTAACATAGCAGACAAATATCAAGAAACTGTATTTAATACAGATTACTGAAAATAATCGTTCAAGACAAAATATTCGGAAAGCGCGGAATTGGGAGAAGAAAAAATTTATGGTTAAAAAACCTGAGGAAATGGTTCTCCACATCAACAACTAATCTATAATCTATTTAAAGCATCAGTTAATAAAATAATTATGGCCAGAATGGTCGCCAATATTCAAAACACATAAGCACCAAAAGAAGAAATTGGTTTGTCTGGTTATTAATATCTGCTAAGAGCAGCAAAGGTCAATAGACATTTTGTATATGCGATTATTCGATAGATTTTGTGGGCATTAGATAAAACCAAATACAGATAGATATATAAAGAACTTTCGTTAAACTTAAAGTGCTAACTTTCTATTTCAACCCACGTTTGTAATGACCAGCAATATATATCTACCCAGATTAAGGGTTAACTAAGAAAAACACTGCACCAAAGTTTATAAGAAAGATCTAAGGCGCAGACTATATTTTAATCACTGCTTGTAAAGCTATACATATAAATATATTTTTATTAAAAAACTTTACCACAAACTCGTAGAAGGAAAATAATTAATATGTCGCTTTTAACGTAGAAATATTACTAAACATTTCTAAAAATGTTCCCGTATATGTAGACAGTTTTTATGCAATACAATTAATTTGTTATGGAAATATTGGCGACAAAAGGTAAATATAGAATTGAGCCGAAATACATTATATTCCTATGTTCCGAATTTATTTCGTTCAATCTGTATAAAGAACTTTCGTTAAACTTAAAGTGCTAACTTTCTATTTCAACCCACGTTTGTAATGACCAGCAATATATATCTACCCAGATTAAGGGTTAACTAAGAAAAACACTGCACCAAAGTTTATAAGAAAGATCTAAGGCGCAGACTATATTTTAATCACTGCTTGTAAAGCTATACATATAAATATATTTTTATTAAAAAACTTTACCACAAACTCGTAGAAGGAAAATAATTAATATGTCGCTTTTAACGTAGAAATATTACTAAAAATTTCTAAAAATGTTCCCGTATATGTAGACAGTTTTTATGCAATACAATTAATTTGTTATGGAAATATTGGCGACAAAAGGTAAATATATATACAAACAGAATATTTTGAATTGTGATTAAATATTAAAAACAGTTTAAAATTTATGAAAACCTAAAGTACTTTGCTAAATGAAATATTGGATAAATTATCTGATTATGGCAAACAGTTATGGTTGACATCAAACAAAAGCAGAAATTCGTATTTTACGACGTACTCGAAAAATGGCTTTTTCGTTTAATTTTTGTTAATGTGTAAAATTTATTTTATTAAATTATTATAAAATTGTATAAATTTAGACAAATTAAATAGCTATAAAACTTTACAATCAGTAACCGTAACGGCCGGTTTCAGAATAATTTTAAATTAATTTGTTTATAACTGTAACAGAAAATTAAAAAATTTAAAAATAAATTTCATAATACCGTACCTCGGAGGTAAAGGACACTATGTCCATTTTCTTACTTTTTAAGGAGAGCAGTTTTAACATTTTTTAAGTTTGTAATCAGTAAATACTCAAATGTTTCTGATATTTAACCAAAATTAATGTAATATAATATATTAATTTTGGTTAAATATCAGAATCATTTGAGTATTTACTGATTACAAACTTAAAATACAGTTATAAACAAATTAATTTGAAATTATTCTGAAACCGGCCGTTACGGTTACTGATTGTAAAGTTTTATAGCTATTTAATTTGTCTAAATTTATACAATTTTATAATAATTTAACAAAATAAATTTTATACATTAACAAAAATTAAACGAAAAAGCCATTTTTAGAGTACGTCGTAAAATACGAATTTCTGCTTTTGTTTGATGTCAACCATAACTGTTTGCCATAAACAGATAATTTATCCAATATTTCATTTAGCAAAGTACTTTAGGTTTTCATAAATTTTAAACTGTTT